TATCCAGTCTTCCCAACACCATTTATTGAAGAGACTGTCCTTTTCCAAATGTATGTTCTTGGCTTCTCTGTCAAAAATGAGTTGGCTGTAAATGCATGGATTTATTTCTGGGTTCTCTATTTTGTTCTATGCGTCTGTTTTTATAGCAGTACCATGCTGTTTTTTGTCACTAAAGCTTTGTAACATATTTTCAAGTCAGCAGTGTGATGCCTCCAGCTTTGTTCTTTTTGCTCAGAGTTGCCTTGGCTATTCAGGGTCTTTTGCGGTTCCATACAAATTTTAGAATTGTTTCTTTCTGTTTCCATGAAGAATGCCATTGGTGTTTTGATAGGGATTATATTGGATCTGTTGATTGCTTTTGCTAGTATGGTCATTTTCCCAATATTAATTCTTCCAATCCATAAATGTGGGATGTCTTTCCATTTTTTGTGTGTCCTCTTTAATTTCTTAAGTGTTGTAGAGTTTTCTTTGCAGAGGTCTTTCATCTCTTTTATTAAATTTATTCATAGGTATTTTTTCATAGCTATCTAAATGGCACTGCTTTCTTGATTTCTTTTTCAGTAGTTCACGATTGGTATATGGAAATGCTACTGATTTTTGTATATTGATTTTGTATCCTGTAACTTTACTGAATTCATTTATCGGTTCTAAGGGTTTCTTGGTGACACCTTTAGGCATTTCTGTATGTAAGATCAGGCCATCTGCAAACAGGGACAAGTTGACTTCTTCCTTTCCAATTTGGATGCGCTTTGTTTCTTTTTCTTGCCTAATTGCTGCATAAGACTTCCATTACTAGGCTGAATAGACATCGTGAAAGCGGGCATCCTTGTCTTGTTTCAGTTCTTAGAGAAAAGGTTTTCAACCCTTTCTTCATTTGGTAAGATACTAGCTTTGGGTTTTTCACATATTGGCCTTCATTGTGTTGAGGTACATTCCGTCTCTATCTAATTTGTTGATTGTTTTTGCCATAAAGGGACGTCGAATTTTATCATTTATTTCTGCTCTGATCTTCATCATTTCTTTCCCTGCAGTACTTTTGGGTTTGGTTTGTTCTCGCTTTCCTAGCTCTTTGAGGTATGTCATTAGGTTGCTTATTTAAAATTTTTCTACTATTTTGACATAGGCATTTATTACTATAAACTTCCGTCTTAGAACTTCTTTTGCTGTATCCCATAGGTTTTGGTATAAAATTAAAAACACAGTTGAGAGCTCTGGTGACAGACTAGATCATTAATTTCATTCATTAAAAATTCATTTTAATTATTCAGCTAACAGATTCGTTTGGTTGTTTTTATGATATCTATTTCTATTGAATTTCTCATTCGGATCATAAAACGTTTTCCTAATTTCATTGAATTGTCTATTTGTATTCTCTTGTATCATGCTGAGTTTCCTTAAAATCATTATTTTAAATTACTTTTCAGGTATTTCATACATTTCATTTTCTTTTAGGTCTGTTACTAGAGAATTATGTCATGTTCTGTCCTTGCTCTTTTTTTTTTTTTTTGAGACGGAGTGTCGCTCTGTTGCCCAGGCTGGAGTGCAGTGGCGTGATCTTGGCTCACTGCAACCTCCGCCTCTCAGGTTCAAGCAATTCTCCTGCCTCAGCCTCCTGAGTAGCTGGGACTATAGGCGCCCGCCACCATGCCCGGCTAATGTTTGTATTTTTAGTAGAAATGGGCTTCACCATATCGGTCAGGTTGGTCTCAAACTCCCAACCTCAGGTGATCCACCCACCTCAGCCTCCCAAAGTGCTGGGATTACAGGCGTGAGCCACTGCGCCTGGCCTCCTTGCTCTTTCACGTTTCTTGTGTGACTGCATTGATATCTGCACATCTGGGGGGACAGTCACCTCTTCCAATTTTACGAAGGAGCTTTCATAGGAAAAGACTTTTTCTAGTAGATGTATCCTATAGCATGGGTTGGATAGCATGCTTAGGTTTTGGTTCTGGGTGGGGGAGTAGTGTAGTCTCAGTGTCATTTCCTTGTCTGTAATCAATATCAGTGGTGTCTGCAACTGCCTCAGTGGCCTAGATTGTGAGTGTTCGTGGATACAATGGTGTAACTTTGCTGTGGATGGGGACCACCAGGCAGGCTGGTCTTCAGTCCCTGAAGGGTGAGTATGGCACACAGTGGCTCCACCTACAGGTGGTTCTTATGTACACTCAAGTTTGAGATGCACTGCTCTAGTGCCCTGAGAAGCTTGCGTGAGAAGGTGACAGTTTGGTCACTGGGAGCTGCCTTCCATTGTCCCCTGTAGCTTTGACTTACCTTTGTTGTAGAGGGTTCCATCAAAGTAGTAGCTCCCTGTATAGAAGCCAGTGGCGTGCTCAATGAGGTGCCGTGCCCATGTGTTCCCAGCTCCTGGGAAGCTTGACAAAGCCACAAACACCTTGGATTTGTTAGGCAGGAACCTCCTGTCTGTACAACGAGTGTCTGAAAGTCCAAAAGTCATCACGGGGTTGGTTACTCACTTCCATTATGACTCACCAATTTACCACTAAACTCCCTTAGAGGGACTGAAGAATGAAGACTCCCGTTTAATAGATGAGGGAACCAAGACCCAAAGCAGGGAAGAGATCTTCCAACTATACCTTAGCTGCACAGGTCTGTGGCTAGTCAGAGGAAGCCCCGTGATGAGGCCTCCAAGACGGCAGTGCAGGAGTGGGATGGGAATCAGACACCCTAGGGACCCTCCACTCCCATTCTGTCTCTATGACCACAGCCAAACTCTTGCTCCTAAGTTAGCACAGATAATTCCAGATTCTACCAGGGGAAGTGGGAGGGGATTGAGGCTATGCTAAGCAAAGTGACACACCCAGGTACTATCAACAGTAAACCAGAGCTGTATTAATGACAGGCAAGTCATTCGTTGTGTCTCATCCCCAGGGGTGCTACAAGGAGCACATGAAATCACCAAGGGAAAGCCCCAAAACCTCCAGGGCTGTGCTGGGTCACAGTAGGCACTTGATAAAGGTGGTAACATCCCTCTTCACCTGCTCTTCTTTTCATCAGTTCCTAAGGTCAACAGGGGCAGACCTGATGCTCACACCAAGGAGGGTTCCCAGGTCCTGGAGGCACCAGTGGCCCCTGCAGCTCCTGGGATCCCATTCTTCCCACACTTCCCAATCCTACCATCTTTCTGTTGCTATCTCTCCGGAACCTGCCCCTCTCTGCTCATCCTCTTACCATTGTCATCCCGAGAGAGACTTAGATAAAAGGTCCAGTGTTTTTTAAAGTGAGTCCAGGATTCAGCCTCTGTGGAGGGTGGAAACCTGACCCTCCCCATTATCTCCACCACCCATCAAGATGCCAAGACCTTTACACAGACACCTGCCATACCTCATAGCTGTATGCTTGGCCATGACTGGCATCTCCCAACGCTGGAAGCTCTCCCCACCCCCAGACCAAATGCCACTACCAGTCGGGGATGCAGAACCCACCTTGCACAGGCGTCTGGTAGACCTCACAGTATTCTGCCAGCCTCTGTGCCTCAGGGTCCTGGCCACATAGTGAGCTGTCCATGGCATCACGCAGGTTGAACTGGGGGGTAGGGTAAGCACAGTAGCATTCCCAGCCCCTGAGAATGGCCAAGGGGAACTCCTGCCAGGGAAAGATAAGAAGAGAAGCACATTGAGTGAATTTGAGGGTCCTGCTTCCCAGGGCTCAGGAATGGGATGAACATGGATGATGTACGGCCAGCTGTATAGAATCCACAGGGATGACCACCATCCTTCTACCACTATGCTCTGTGCCCAGTTCCGGAGAGACAAAGCTCAACAAGACGTGAGCTTCAAGTAGCTCAAGTAGCCCTTGTTCTTACAAGCACAGCCCTACTTGGTTGGTTCCTTGACAAGTCAACAGTATGAGCAGCAATATGACTGAGGGGTGAGTGACGTGAAGAAAGCAGGGGACAGAAGCTGGAACCATGCTTTTGAGACTCCAAGGCATTTGCCAGGAGTGCCAGGGATAGAAAGGGCACTCTGGGCAGGGGCATCCATAGGAGTGGATGTCTGCATGGCACAGAGCAGGGCAGATCAGCTGGCACAGGGCTGCCCAGGGCTCCACGTGTCACACCACTAATGAACAGACCTCGAGCCCTGAGAGAGGACTGAGATTCCCTCCGGCCCTCCTTGGCCAGCCACCTCCCTGGAAAGACACCAAAACCACCTCTCCTGCCAGATGCCCCAGTGCAGGGTGCAGAGATTCTCATATAGTCATCTTTCCAAAGACGGAAGGGGCGGAGAAGAACAGACGTTGTTCCTGCCCGAGATGCTCACCCCAAGGAGGATTCTTAAAAAATGGAGGGGGGCCCTGTCAGGGGTAGGAGAGAGGAGTCGCCTCACTCTGTGGGCCAGCCCAGCTCCCAGCAGTCTTAAGTGGGTCCTTGTTCCCCTTTAGGGAGGCCGCACCACACCTTGAAGAGAGCTGGTGGCTGGCATCCTGAAGGTGTGAAAGCAAATTCCAGCTCACTTGCCAGGCACCCTTGAGCAAGGTGCCTAACCTCTTTGAATGTCATCACTGAAAAAAGTAATAAAATCTGCCTTGTAGGTTTATGGTGAGGACTAAATGAGACGGGTCCAAAGTGCCTAGCACTGGGCCCGCCACGCTATACCTCCAGGGAGGAAGAGGTCATGCTCGACCTCCTTAACCCTCTGGGCATCAGCTGTGTCTTGCTCAAAAATATATCCACCCACCACTCCCACATGTATAGGAAAGTCCTCGCTCTGCCCCAGGCACTAGCCCCTTTTCATCTCTTCCCTCTCTGCATCCTATAGTCGGAGATGCTAGGCCTTTGGGAGCGTAGAGAGATGAGAGAGTAATCTGCGAGTGTGTGTGCCAGGGAGGGAGGCAGTGGGTGGAGAAAGCTTCTCACTGCTAAGGGAAATGCTGCAGAAACCTTTTTATTTTTTGCCCACAGCAAAAATCTCATAAATAAATAAGAAAAAGAAAATCAATAGCATTTTTTGAGCATGGCTAGGTAAAGCTGAGGATTTTGGCACTCATAAAAGACAACAGACTGAGTCCCATGCAAGCGAAGATGACGCAGGGCCTGGGGCATTGGTGGGACGATGGGTATCTTTGGGGGGAGTGGGGGAAATGCTGCTGGAGGTTGCCCCCCGCTGTCAGGCTGTTCTTGTAAGCGCAGGCCACATGCTCCCCTAGGTGCCAAGCAGCCCCCAGGAAAACCTCCCCCTACTCGCCTCATCCTTCTTCAAGCTGAGGAGGCACCTGCGCTGTGAGTAGGTATACGATGGACTATCGAACTTCAGTGGTACCTCCAACTAGACCCATCCTCACGGCCGCCACACCACTCTTCTGTGGAAAGTGAGAGCTGGGCCCTGACCCTCAATCTCCACACTGCTGGCTTTTCTAGAAGCAAGTTTCCCCGGTGATGTGAATTCGTGAAAAGCAACTTCAAGAATTGCCACCTCCGGTCTCTACAGCTTCATCCACCCTCTATCACAAAACCCTCATCCTGCCTCATTCCACACCAACACCTTCATCACAGTGACAACAGAAACAAGCAGCGCGGGTGTCCACAGCACACAGCGGGCCGTCTGTGTCTCAGGCACCTCTGTCCATGCTGGCTGCTATGGGCTGCACTGTGTCCCCCAAATTCATATGTTGAAGTCCTAACCCCAGGGTCTTAGAATGGGACCTTATTTGGATGTAGGATCTTTTTTTTTTTTTTCTTTTTGAGACAGAGTCTCACTCTGTCGCTCAGGCTGGAGTGCTGTGGCACGATCTCAGCTCACAGCAACTTCTGCCTCCCCAGCTCAAGCGATTCTCCTGCCTCAGCTTCCCAAGTAGCTAGGACCACAGGCATGCTCCACCACGCCTGGCTCATTTTTGTATTTTTAGTAGAGACGGGGTTTCACCATGTTGGCGAGTCTGGTCTTGAACTCCTGACCTCAGGTGATCCGCCCACCTCAGCCTCCCAAAGTGCTGGGATTACAGAGATAATTAAGTTCAAATGAGGCCATCAGGGTAGGCTCTAATCCAATATGACAAAGGTCCTTACGAGAAGAGGAGGTTAGGACACGGCCAACACACAGACCAAGGGACAAGCACACAAGGACACAGTAAGAAGGCTGCCATCTGCAAGCCAAGGAGAGAGGTCTCGGAAGAAACCAACCCTCCTGAGACCTTGATCTCAGACTTTCAGCTTTCAGACTGAGAAAATAAACGTCTGTTGTTTACACTGCCCAGTCTGTGGCACTCTGTCACGGCAGCCAAGCTGACCAATGCAGTAGCTTCCTTGCTGTTCCCTGACTTCTCCACTCATGATCCGACCTCAGGGCCTGTGCACTTGCTGCTCCCCCTGCCAGGAATGCCCTTCGCCCAGATACCTTCATAGTTCTCTCCCGCACATCCTTCAAGTCGCTTTCTCCATGGGGCCTTCTCCGGCCACTCCCTTTTCAAGTTGCAAACTCCTCCCACCATCACCAACACATCCTATTCCCTCACCATGCTTTCCAGTTTTGTGTAATAACCTGTCTGATGACATGCTCTGATCCCAGGTGTACCATTCAACCAAGACAGGCAGCACATCCGTGACACCAGAGGCCCCTCTCCCCATTCACTGTCATCCTGCCCTCCCCAGAACAACCACTTTTCAGATTTCTATCGCCACGGATTCGTTTTATCTGTACTAAAACGTCATATAAATAGAATCACCCAGCACATGTTTTCGTGTACCTGGCGTCTTTCATTCAGAAAAGTATTTGTCAAATCCATCCATGTTGTTATCTGCGTCTGTGGATCATTCCTTTTTCATTGCTGTGTAGTATTCCATCCAACGATGCACTGGTTTGTTGATTCATCCACTTGTGGATGGACATCTGGGCTGTTCCCAGTTTTTAGCGATTGTGAATAAGGCTCCTCCAAACATTCTTGCACAAGCCTTTCAGTCCATAAATGTTTGCATTTCTCATGAGTAAACACCTACGATTCCTACTTCCTTTTCCTCCACGACATGCATCACCATACAACGTACTATATAATTTACTTATTTACCTGGTTGGTTGGTTGCCTCTTTCCACAAGAACATAAGCAGCGTTGTTGTGTTTTTTGTGTGCTTTGTTATATTCTCAGAATCTGGGAAAGTGCCTTGCACATGGCAGATGCTCAATAAATGTTTGATGGATGAAGAAATGAATGAATGAATGAATGAATGAAGAAAGAAAGAAATGAATGAATGTCCCTTCCAAATCCCAACCACACCAGAAGCTGCTGGAAACTAACTTGGGTCTGATTTTTCTGCTGGTCATTTAACTGCACCACAGGCATGAGGGAGAAGAAAGCCCGCTCTCTCTAAGCAAATCTTCCCCATATCAGAAAGCCCGGAGCGGGCTCTGCTGTCCTGGGATTCCTGTTCTGAGGAAAAAAAATTTCACCAGCCTATGGTAAATCTACTCAAGGCACGTTGGCTCCGTCTCCCTCCCCAGCAGTAACAGCACCGCTGACGTTGATGCCTCACAATCTTATATCCCAGGGCTGGAGAATGGGCTGCCCCCAGCAGTGACCCGAACCTTTTTGCTTCCTTGAGTGGATTAAACTGTCAAGTTTCCGGGTGTTTGCAGAGCGACGGGAGAGCTGCAGACAGTAATGTGCTTTTATTTACAACATCACCGCTTCAGCAACATCACCGGATTCTGAAAACACAGAACAATTTTCAGCCCCTTGGGCATTTCTAGGACATGATTTCCATAAAAATTAAATATTGATGAATCTTCTCTCTCTGCCAACTTCCCTGCTCCCCCCACCCTACCCTACGCTTCAGTGAGAGAAAGAAGAGGAAAAAAGGATCCAAGAATGCAAGGCAGAAAAAGAAAGTGAGAAGATAGATGAGGGATTGTTTCAGACAGGTGAGGGGTGAAAGAAAGACCTGGCTCAGCCTGCGTCCGAGGGCAGAGAGGAAACGCATCCTCATCCTGATCGTGCATCTACAGCCTGAGCCTGGCTCGGTCTGAACGCAGGGCTAGTGCTGGGCTGGGCTGAGGTACGGGTGGGCACTCAGCCTGGAGCAAGGTCATGACTTAGCAAGGGCAGGGCTCGGGGCTGGCCAGGATCCACATGCAGGAGGCTTGGTCAAGGAGTGAACCTTCCTCCAGGTAAGACGTAAGGAGCAAGGCCCCAGGCGGGACCCCTGTAGCAAACCGGCCCCTCTGGGCATCATCTCCTCCATCGTCATTCCTGTTCTAGCACTTTTCTCAGGATCGCCAGGATTACACAGAATGACAGAGATTTCAGGGATCACAGAAGGGGAAATGGAAGCTGGGAGGTAGGCAGTGAAGAGCCCAGGATGCCCAGCGTGCCAGGTGAGTGGGAAAAGGAGCCAGCCTTCTGGACTCTGAGTCCAGGGCCTTGCCACATCAACACAGCTCAACTCCTGAGAGGCAAACACATGGATGCACTGGGTTTCCAATGAAATCTGCAAACCAGTGCGGAGGTTAGCTCTGCCAGTCTCTTGCCTCCAGAGCAGTTCCCTTTACTCCAGAGGCAGATCTGAATATTCAAGGTACAAAAAGGAAAAGGTACAAAAAGGAAAGAAGACACCCACAAAGATGACTTCAAGGATTGGGGACAAAGGGGGCAGA